CAAATGGAATTATTATTATTATTTAGTATGACAGTACTATAATAAAAATAGAATAAGACATGAAGCTTAATTTATTTTAAATTAATGAATGTCTGTGAAATTTTGTTAATTCGAGTCTGACCATGTTAGATGTTCGTTTGGCGATCGCAGAGAAACGACGTGGCGTAACATCGCCGGGTGGGGGTGGGCGTTTATTAAAACTTTGAAAAGTGCATCGTTGCACGCGCGACAAATTTGTTTCCAAGCGTCGCGAACGGGTGGAAATAAGAAATAAAGAGAGTGAGAGAGAGAGAGAGAGAGAGAGAGAAAAAAAAAGGAGAGGGGCAAGCTTGGGGTTGGGGTCGGACAGACAGGGAAAGGAGCGGGTGGTGAGGCGCGCGAGAGAACGAAAATTTGATATTCATGAAGCATTTTAAAGTCGTGCCATCCGAGGAATGGCTATAGAATATAGACTGCTAAGCAGGGGTAGACGTTTGCTGGAAACCTATTTAGATGCGAGTCCGCGATTTTCGCGCCGTCTCCTTCCCGCAAATTTTTCGACTTCCAGCTCTGTGTTTAATAAAGAAGACCAAGAAAAGAGAATGTTAATAAGATCGATAAAATTGTTAGTAGAAAATTATTTAAAAGAGTATGAGAATTCTTGGCAAGAATGAAGGAACCTTAATATTAAGAATCTTTTTGTTATCGTATAATTGCAATCATAAAATAATATTTTATATGCATTTCGTTGCAAAGAGAANGCCAATTGACCTTTAATCGCTTATCTCCAACCGTTTTCATCACATTCCTTAAACTCCTAGCAGAGATCTTCCAGCTCATACAATCTTAAATGGAACAATCCATAGTCGATTGAACGAGCGAAGCTAATTCGTCTCCACAGATTGCTGCATCCAAACCAGACAAACGAATCTGTAGCACACTTGAACTTTCTACGACAAATACATAAAAACTTGCAATCTAGTGATCATGTCTATCTACATAAAACAAATCACAATGAACCAATAAGTCACTATAAATAATACATATTCATCGGCACGCGTAATTTTTTTTATCAAAAGGTTATCGTTCACATAAATATAGAACAATTCATAGTTCATTCAACATCGAAGTTAATTCATGTTCACCGTAGCCACTGATGCGAGGCGACGCATTTAATCTCTGCGACCTACCGTCGTCGACGCGTTCGGTTTCCTGAAAAAAAACCGTCACGGATCGAAACCCGCGTCGCGTTTTTCCATTCATATCGAGAATACTCTACCCGGGTCGACTTCCGCGTTCCCTAATTCGAAACCAGGCGGCCGTCAGCATATTTCATCGGCGTGCATCGCCGTTCTCAGGTGCGTCGGCGTGCCGTTGGAAATCGCTCCACCTCCGATTTCCTGATCGTTGCCGGGCGATAACGGGTCACCGTTTATACACCCGCGGCTAGATTGAAATCCCGAAGAAACGGGAGGCGGAATCCGACGCGGTTTCCACGACGAGGAGGAAAGAGGAAGAGGAGGAAGCGTAGGAGGGTGGCGCGAGCGGAGAGGAGCGTCCGCTGAAAAATTATAATAATCACTTTAGAAATTAATGGTACCTCCGCGGTATCCGGGAGTGACAAGGTGACCCGGAGAGGGGGGCATACGGGGGTTGTTGAGGTGCGTGCAAATGGCGACTCCCTCACCGTGCGACCAATGAATGCACGCGTAGGAGGAAAGCAACCGACGCTCGCCACGCCCGCACCCCGACGTCACCAAAGTCCTGCGCGTAGAGTCGCCGTACGCCAACGCTCCGTGGACCAGTTATCACTCGGACGACGTATCCAACGCTGCCTGCCACGGCCTCTTGTTCTTCTTCTTCTTCTTTTTCCCTTTCGCCACGCACGAACGCGTCGCGAGAGCCACAGCGGGTCGGCTCATCACCGTCTCCTCGATGTTCCACGATTATCGAGTGAACTCCGGGGCCGAGATTTGTGACAAGTTCCAGTTAACCGAGCTCGATTTTGGCGGGAATCGAAAGTGCGATCGGTGACGGTGTTCATAAGTGAATCCGCGTTCATCGAAACTCGACTGGTTTTTAAATAAATATCGTGATTAGATTAAATCTTTTGTGGCTCGTTTCATTCGATGCACATGTAACGAACGTGGCACGAGGGGTGCGACGAGATGCGTATTCGTGAGAGTGATCGGTTCTCCGATTGAAAAGACTCGCACGGTATTTTCTCACTTAAGAGTGGAAATCCAGCGGAATTACACCGCCGTCGCTCACGTGGCTTAATTTGTGTGACTTTCGCGGGGATATCGGTATCCTCGCGTTTTCGTTCGGTTGAACGGGGCTCCGTTGGGAAGGTGGTCACGACGCGACGAACGGCCAAGAGTCGTGGAGGAAGCGGCGAGGGCGGCGGAGGTGGGACCGACGGTGGAGGTGGCAGCGGCGGCGAGAAGACGCTCCCGTATGCGGCCGCCGCGGGCACCGTAGAGGAGGTGGAGGCGCAGGAGGTGGAAGCAGAGGTCGACGAGGTTAAGATGGAAGCCGAGGAGCATCTCGCGAGGGAATACGTACAGGAGTTTGTTCTCGATCATCTTGAACCAGCTGACGTTAAACGGGAGGTTAGTCGAACATTTTTATTCACACGTTACTCGTATTTGATTGATAGCATGATCAACATTTTTTAGAGCAATTACATGTTTCTACTATGGAATTTTATCAAGTTTGCTGGAAGTGTCCGATGTACTTGTGATCTTTCAATATTCGCAGCCATGGCATCTGCAGGAATTTTTAGTATGCATAGTTTAGATTTCTTGAATTGGTGAATTTTCTATCAAATCAGTTGGATTTATGAGGAATAATAGTAATCTTGTGGTATTAATTAAGATAATCGAAACCATATTCATGTTTTTTTCATTTTTCGAA